ATATCATTGATCCCGAGCGTTGATGCATTTACCTGTATTCTTCTACCATGCAAATTCTGTCTTGTAAAAATCAGTTAAAGAATTTAAAAAAATGTGTCTCTTAAGTAGAACCTTACATTCTCTTGCATGAAAAAGTATCAATATATTCTTTTTCGTTTTTTATTGCATTTGAATAAACATAGACATTTTGCTAAGTCTTGCAAACACAGTTACTAATAGCAGACTAAGGGTGTAAGTACATAAGAAGCTTGAAGTCATGGCTAGGTATATTTTGTGACATTTCGTAAAGGGATTACAGAGCCGCACTAAAATCCTGCCGTCGTTTTCCATTATAATTTGACATATGCCTAGCCATAACCTAACCTAACCAAGCTTTTTATGTACTTGCACCTAAAAAGTTATATCATCTCAAAGGCATATGCAAATATTGATAGTTTGATTTTTGGATCTATTAAATGCAGAGGGTTTGTCTTCAATAACATGAATGCGCTATTGTTCTTCATTTTTCTTCGCTAATTTCGATAATGAACCAAAACGCCCGAGCAAAGCGAAAATTAAGAACCCGTTTGATGTTTTCATGCAATTACTTTCACTTTTTCCTTTTAGTGAACTAATGAACTACACAAAGTATCAGTTTAGAATGGTAGCTTTGCTCACATGTAGTTTGTGCTTGTTGGAAAGTAAAAATCTATTTCTAAGAGATACTAGGTAAATAAAGTTGTTTATAAGACATTGGACATTGAAAAATTACATAAGTATGTAAATTTGTCAAAAATAGTTATATATTCAACTAAACATTTCTGATTGACATTTCTAATTATATTTTTGTAGAAACTATTTAAAATGCATATTTTTCACAAACACTGAAGCATCTGAACTGTAAACCTTCACCGTGGTATTGTGATTATTTTTTAACCTATTTGACATTTATTTTTTATGGTAATTAGGTGTAATTTTCAAACAGAGCCCAAGATTATATCATACGATTTATTGTGGCCAATATATGTCATAATATTTTGTATTACAAAAAGCGTAATTTCAACTTGACCCAGGATCAAATTATATTCTGTATATTATATCATACAAATAATACATCATTAACTTATTATTAGGTACATATTAATTATTATACCAAATATCTAATTACTTGGTTTATAATTTTAAAACAATTTATCAAAACGTTTGATTATCCATGTACATGAACTTTTAAATCGTATGGCCTTATTATTTATTATATAGATTAGAGATCTAAATCAAGTTTTCACCTTTAAATTTATACTTAAATATAAACATTTCATCATTGTTTTTGTTAAGTATTATTCTAAAAAAATCATTTGTTGTTTTTTGGTTGTTTGCGTCAAATCGATTAGGCCTCACCCCCCTCTCTCAATGTTGTTCTCTTTGGGGAAATTTGAAAAAAGAAGTAAACGTGATTTTTAACATTCGCGAATTGAGTTTTGGTTCGGTTTGGCCAAAAAGGGATTTCACTTAATCACACCAACAGTGGCATTTCGGAAATATATTTTGGTCTTCTCTTGGTAACAAATATAAAATCCCTAGTATTTTCAAACATAGATGTTGTCTAGCAATTGGGAATTAGTCATTAGTGCGACATACGCTATTTGGATTGTTTGCTTTGCGATAAAATAAAAAATCACTACCGAAATAATAAATACATCTTTATTCACAAGGGCGTTTTTTGTTCGTTATCACAAATTGATAATGTCAAATGAAATTATTAAAAATATGTTTGAACATTGGCCAAATGGTGCTAATTCTCCAATTAACGAAGAAAAGTTGTGAAATAATGTGGGGCAAAACCACAACACCAATCACCAATCTATTGATTGTTGGAAGACTTTAATTGCCTTTCTTTTGCACTCGACCACATTGCCACCAGCCTGTTCATTAGGCAAATGGTCAGTGTTCCCCGTTCTCGTTATCTACGGCGAGATACCAGAGACAATTTTCACTGCAAGACTTATTTTGATTTTATATCACTTGCTACTGCGTCTCTAGTTCGCTTCGTTTCGCCAGAGTACCGACGAGTACATGTTTTAACTAACTCCGTAATCTTTTCATTTTATATTGGCATTAGTATGTGTGGGGATTTTTTTAGGTATAAATATTTGAAATTATCATCTCAACGTTTCATTCAAACCAAGTTCAGTTAACAGACAAAATGGTTAAGAATACATTTTTTGAAAGACGGTTAGAGCGCCTGGCGCGTTATCGTGAACATCAAGCACGTAGAAAAAGTGTAAGTTTCGTGATGAAGAAGAATAAGAAGAAGAAGATAATGAACTGTAAAAACAAGTGATTGCGAGTGTGTAATATTGAATTGAAAAGAAACAAATTATAAATTACCGTGTTATTCAGTGATAAATAATATATTAAAAATAATTAAAAAATCCCCAAGATACACCAAATGACCCATGTGTGTCATAAACTGGCATATGCGAATATAATTTTTTTTAGTAAAAAAAGTTTTTGAGAGAAAGATATGTGAATTAGAAGGAGAACCCCGTTCTTTTTGGTAAATCAAATAATTAAAATCACCCACGATACTACTTTGGTGCCTAAAAGTATGCTCGTATTTTTCCTAAACAATATTTTCCCTGGTTTTGGACAGTTCACATAGGGAATGCTCGCACCGGTCCATTCATAATCCTTATATTGCATTATTTCTAATCCAAGTTTTCGCATTAGAAGTATGTGAAATAGTCATGTATTATTTTTGTTTTTAAAAGGACAAGCCCTATTTGTTTTTTTACCCTTTGCCATAGTATGGAGGGTATATTAAATTTGTCATTCCGTTTGTAACACCTCGAAATATACATTTTAGACTCCACAAAGTACGTATATATTCTTGATCAGCATAAAATTCTATGTCTGTCCGTATGTGAAAATCACTCTAGCTTACGAACGAAAAAAAATAGATTGATAAAATTTTACTCAAATGTATATTACGCAGGACTTTTGGTATTGAAAATGGGCCATGTAGGTCTACAGCTACATTCGGTATTTTTAAGATTTTAACAGAAACGGATTTTATAGTTTTTGAGAGTTGCCAAATTCGTTCGTACATATTTTTTAATTGTTTTTTTGTGCTAAGGGTCACCTACACATGATGTAAGAGTTATAAATTAAGTGACAATTTTTGACATTTTAAATGTAGCATATTTTTAAGAGGTCTCCACAACTTTCAAATTCAAAAGAAACGTTTTATATCATAAGTACATATTACAGTATGTTATATTATATATGGTATAGCATTTCCTTAAATTTATCAATTGTTGGGAGCAATTAAAAATATTACAAAAAAATAAAAGTACAATATATAAAATGCGAAAAAAATCACTTAACATATCACTCTAACGAGATGTGTAAACTGACCTCAGAGAATATTACTGTCGTGATAAATATTACTATTTTAGCACCAAAAAATATGTTTTCAAAAAAAAATAGGTCCTTTTATGGTTTGAATTACATTAACGTTCAAGGATTTCAAAGATCATAACAAATGAATCCATAACACATATCTGTTTTGTAAAAATAGAAAATCCTATTCGGAAAGTAAATTTCGCATTTAGAAATATAATTGTTTTTGGGTACCTTAATCACCCCAGCATCCTGATGATAATGCCCATCATCTGTTTATAGTACACATTTTATCTTGTTTTTGTACTTTATGCCAGCTTTGGAGGCTATTCCCCTTGACTAGCATTAAATGCGTATCTCAACTTGTTGTCTATTAGCTATTTGTGCATCTGTGTTTATAAATAAAACAAAAATGCAAATATTGACTCGCTTTATTAGCAAACAAAAGTAATTATTAATTTGCCATTACATAAAATTAAATACAGAAACGAAGAAATAAAAAAACAACAAAATAATAAGTGCACAGAAGTACGAAGGCAATTATCTACAATTCACTGCTAACAAATTGTACAACGGGCATTAAATGTTCCCATGACCATAAAGGTAATGCCGCAGTTATTAACAACAATTCGAAAGCACGTGGCTTTGGTCAGTTTTCAAACACGCCAAAAATGTAAACAAGTTAATGCCAACGATTTAAGACAACTTATATGTATTAATTATTGAAAGAAAGAAATGAAATAAATAAAATCATTCATCATTGTCATTACAAACATAAACATTTTCTCGAAACATCATCATTCTCAAACACTTCCACATGATCTTCAAATCAAATGAATTTCCCTGTAAATATTCCATTTAAATTTTAAGCCTCCTATATTTTCCTAAAAAAAATAGTCCAACAGACTCTAAATTGGATAATTGAGTGTTTTTGAGACTTTGTATCCTTTTTTAAGTTGTAGCTTATTTGGTCGAAACACACACACGCACTCAAAATACATTTATCCAAAAAGTAACCACCAACTTTCAAATTGACAAAATTTGTTATTCATGTACAAAGCCTGTGTTCTATATTTAGATTTTTGGTTTTTGTTACAATTAGACAAATTTGAGATTGCTTGAGTCTGTATGTGTTATGTGTGCCAGCCAAATGGAACTACTACACCACTCCTTTCACAAAATTTTGAAACAAACACCCTTTTTCACCCCAGATTTATTTTTTTTAATTGTGTTTTATGCAGCACCGATTGAATTGATATTTTAAGTTATACCCCACTATCCTTTTGAGTTTTAGATTAAAATTATAGAAATTCTATATACCAGCACACACTTTTACGTATATACCCCCACAAAATAAATGGGATGTACTCAATTTTTATTCGAAATATTTAGGATAATGTATTTATTATTATGTTTGACGTTCAATCCACCACAAAAGCAGTCAGTCACCTGTATTTTGTATACACACATATGATTATTGTTTTTAATTATTTGTGTAATTTATTAAATGGTCTCTTTTTTTATTTTTTAATTGTGTTAATTAATTGTGCTTTAGTTGCTGTTGTTGTTGCAATACTAATTCATTTCTATCTTTCATTCATTCTCCTCCCATCCAACAGGTGCTGTCTATGAGCAATGATGATTATCGCAAATCATCAATATTCCAAACAGGATCGTTTGATTTAGATTTTCCAATACCAGATCTGATTGGAACAACAGAAATCCTAACAGAAGAGCATCGGTAAGTTTGCCTAAACAAATACTTTCTATTTTCGTATTTATGTAATTAATTATTGTCCTTTTTCTGTTTTGCTCATTAGTGAAAAACTATGTGGACATTTACCCGCACGCGCTGAAGGTTACTCTTGGTCATTGGCCTTTAGCACATCTCAACATGGATTCTCATTAAATTCATTATATCGTAAAATGCAGAGACTCGAAAGCCCCATACTGATAGTTATAGAAGACACAGAACACAACGTAAGTATATTAATTGAAAACTCTGAGGTTTTTTAAATAGCTCTAGGGAGAGGCGATGTCATACTCTCATTAAAAAAGTATTTGTTTAATATTTGTAACTAGGAAGTTAGAAGGTGCTGCAAATCCCCATTTCCTACTTTATCGAGTTTCAGTTTAATTTTTATAACAAACCCTCGATGGGTAATTTTATAGCCTGAGTTAAAGAAAAACTAGTTTAGAGAAGCAGACCTGCAAATCCAAGTCAAAATCAATCATAAAGCCTGCATTAAAAAAATCTTTAGTTACTTGTGCTTGTATTTTTGTCTTTTGCAGTATTGCTTCTTTTTTACAATTAATAAAAACGAAACATAGCTGTGAAATTGTTATGCCCTACACCACAAGGTGGTCAGGGTATTGTGTATTGTATCATATATATTGTTCATCCGATTTGTTATTTTTGTCCTCCACGGCCGCAATATGCACTCTGTAACAAGTATATATGGGGATGATATATTTTATCAGAAATATCATCCCAAATTTTATCGAGATCGGTTCATATTTGGATATAGATCCTACATATATCTTTATCCGATTTCAATTTAATTGTGTACCAAATGGTTAATACAAGCTGGAATTGAAAAGGCACAAATGCCTCGGCTAATTTTGCAGAAATCGATTCAGAGAAGGATATTCCTCCCATATATTAATTCCTTTGGTCTTTAAATTAAACCTATAATCATAGTTAGTATGATTTAATTCACACAAATTCCCCATAAAACTTTTATTTGTTATGTGATGTTCTACTTAATATGCAACGGGCTGTATGGTATCATAAAGTCGGCCCGACCGACTTTTGGACTTTCCTAACTGGTTCCTTCTAAGACATTGTCAGGAGGAATAAGCTTGGTAGATAGAATCTTCTGCGTGTGGAAGGATGAAAGGTTAATAAAATATCTAAGACAACAAATTCAATTAGACCAACGCTTGTTTCCATACTTGGTTCAATGATAAATTTAAAAAGTATTGTTGCGCTTAGCAATCTGCAAGAGATGTTTAATAAAGCTAAATGTGGGAATATTTTGAATGAATACTTAGGAGTTTCTATTTCTCTTTTATTTAATAACACAAGACTTTTATAAAGCAGATTTTCTGTTACTTCATTATAATCTAAAGTAGTCTAATCCCAATTTGAAATTAGAAATTTGAACGTTAATAATATCCCAATAAAGTCAAACCTCTATTTAATTAATGAAAAGGAAGAAATGGCGACAAGTTTCTTAAAATGTTGGTAATCATATTTAATAAGGACAATATCATGGTCAATACATAATTTTTCATAGATCCCGACCTACTCTCTTCATGCCAGCTGTCTATAGTGGCTCGTGTCATACATTAAATATATGACGGATAACTCGGTCAAAATCTCCCCAATAAATCTAAAGAGAAGCTCTAATATTTTCAATTTATTTTTGCCTCCCAATTTAATATTAATAACTGATTACACTATTTCCCAATGGGTCTCTTTCAATTCCAAGATCAAAAAGGTGTCACAAATATTTATTGTGATGCCACCCATATCAAACACTATTCACACAAAAACATTTTCTGAGAATTGTCATAATCTTCTTAGAAACTAACGAACCAACAAAGAAAACTGCACTTTATATTCACACATAACGTAACATTGTAAGTTACTCGGTTGGCCATGTTTGTTTTGTTGTGACAGATTTATTTGATGATCTCTTATCTCCATACCGGTTACAACTATTTCCAGATAATGTAAAAGCAATTAAATGAAATTATATCTGTGGTCTTGTGCCACCTCAGTAATTTATGGAGAATATTTATTTTTAGAAAATAATAAATTTGGTGCACGTTACTGCAACTCGTGTTGTAAAGATCTTATTAAGGTGGCATATCTGGAAGAACAAATACAGTAGATTACATTCAAGTTGTTTTTATGGCGACACATATGTTATATGACAAAACTTTGGAAAGAAGGTTATTGTATTTTAAATTCATATTGAGTTTAGATATATTTCTACTCATCCACTCGAATAATTTGTTGTTGGTACTAACTCAAAATATTTAAACAAAAAATCGTTATATACGACTTAAAAAAGTATTCTAGGAGACAATATTATATATATAAAAAAAGATCCATAAATTTAGTCTTTTTCTCAAATTCTATATTTTTTGGTCTATATTTTATAGGTGTTTGGAGCTTTAACGTCATGTTCCCTGCATGTATCAGATCACTTCTATGGTACCGGCGAATCACTTTTGTATAAATTCAATCCCAGCTTTAAAGTATTCCATTGGACGGGTGAAAATTTATACTTCATCAAAGGCAATGTTGAAAGTTTGTCAATTGGTGCTGGCGAGTAAGTATTTTTTTCATTTGAATTTATTATTTGAAAATAATGCGCATTATATGTTTGCGTATACAATATTTTATTTTGTTAAATTAATGGTTTTCTAATTGTTGTTTATTGTTGTCTCTTTTTTTGTTTTGCTTTTGTTTAGTGGTCGTTTTGGTCTGTGGCTTGATGGTGATTTAAATCAAGGTCGTTCTCAATCCTGCAGTACATATGGCAATGAACCATTGGCGCCTCAAGAAGATTTTGTTATAAAAACACTCGAATGCTGGGCATTTGTTTAAGCAACTAATACAAATAACATGAAACAACAACAACAACAATAACACTATTATTAACAACATTATCTTCAAAGAACCTATAAAGGAATTTCATTGTCTTTTTTGTGTATCTTTGTAAATGTGAAACAAAAAGCGGTGATGATAATGCTGCTGGGTACACATGGTCATCATCTGTTAAACACAGCAACAACAACAACCACCAACTTTAAAAGATTTAAAGAAACCCAACAACAGCAACAAAACTACATCATTAGATATCTTTTAGCTAAAACTATTCAACTGCAACTAAAAGCAAAAAACAGCAGCAGCAACAACAGAGTTTACACTGTCAACACTTTCATACATCCAAAACAAGACAAAAAGGTGAAGAAAAACTAAAACACAGAAGGAGTAAAACGAAGAAAGTAATCCCCTTCCCCCCATTAATAAATTATTGAATTGAAACAAATCTAAACTAAACTAATAACAAGGAAAACAAAAGCAAAAGATAAAATTAATTTATATTAAAAAAAAAAACATAAAACAAATACATATTTTATATATATTCTTCTATGAAATAAGCAAGTATATATAGAATGTGTGAATGAAGAGGAGCAGCATAGGACGAGACGAAAACTTAAATTAATTGCAAATTAGATTATAATATAGAAACCCAACCAACTAATACGCTTTAAATGCGAAAAGAATTAAACAGATGTCCCATATGAATTCTGATTTAAAGGAAAGAAACATAAATACCAACATTGATTTGTTTTAACTATGTTCTCTCTCCGACTACTCCTCTTTATGATTTAATTCGGAAGAAAAAATAATTAACATCATCTAACGAAACAAAATTATTGCCATCGTTGTCATCATCATCATCGTCGTCCACCATTATTGTCATCATTATTATTATAAATTAATTAAAGTCATCAAACGCAATTATTATTATTTAAATTTAAATGCATACATCTACACACATCTACGCAATAAATTAAATGTGTTATTCATTTTGTCATTTATGATTTTATTATGATTTTCTTTATGCTTTTATTTCGAGCGTCCTTCCCCCCTTTAATATTTAAGTTTAAAGTAGTTAAGTTTATTTTTAGACCTCAAAAAGGAAGATGAAAAAGAAAGAAAAAACAATGTTTAAGTAAAAGAAAAAATATTAATTTAAAAGCCTAAATGCCTAGGCATAAACACATACATACATATATACAACAACAACAAACACAAATAAATAAATGATTATAAAAGAAAAAACAACAAACATTTATCTATATATTGTCGTCGTGAACTATCATCAAAATAATTCTTTTTTCGACAAGAGCGAATCCGGTTTTACAACAGTGAATCGTGCATCATGAGCCTCCCCTTATAAACAATTTTCAATAATTTAAACTGTCTTGTTAGCCACTAGTCTTCTTCTTCTTTGGTCCCTCAACCTAGGACTCTTACCCTTGCTTAGATTTTGTGCAATTCAATTTTTATTTTGTTCTTTTGCCTTGTACTGTTCTTATTTGTGAAGACAGAACAGTGTCTCGCTGTGGATCCAAAATAACGACAAATGAAATACCCTTAATAATCAAAATAAAAAGGAAAACAAGTGATTTTTTTTAATTTAATATTATTAAACTTTTTCGTTTTATTTTTAAGTCGATTTATTTTTTTAGATTTTAAGTTTCAAATTTTTAACATGAAAATAAAAAAGAAACAAGCTATGCTTACAATTAAATATGCAGCTGTTTTGTTTTATTTCTTATTAATGAAACGATTTTTAATTTTTTATTATAACGATAAAAATAGTATTGAGGGGAGTTAATTTATTAATTAACAAGCTGTTTCAAATTAAACAATCGTTTTCTTTAAAAAATTTAATTGGTTTTCAATTTTTGTTCAATGGTCAAAATCTTGACCCCTTTCAAATATTGTTCTTTACCATGGTTTTAATCGAAAAAATGAGAAATCTCAGCCAATATTGGAACTTTTGAATCCATTGCTCTTCAGAAAATGAGTACATTTGCTATACAAACTGTCCCAAAAAACTGAATAGAAGTTAGTTTCTTGACTAACAATCAGGCAGCAAACTGATTGTGTAGAAATAAAAAAACATTTCATATCGTTTTAATAATAATATTGAAAAAAAAAAAAAACATGTGCGAACATTACTTACATACTAACAAATCTTCACGATTCTAGTTAAAGGAATTAGGAAATAAAAATTAATTACACGATGCCTACAAATTTCGAAATGACTGCACTAGAACGAAATGAAATAAAACGTTATTTAAATTAATTTAAACTATTGAAATACCTACAAAAATATTTCATACAAATAAACATAAACTTTGGTAATTTATATTTTCATCAAGGTGTATTAATAAGGTGTATGCATCGACTACAACAACTAATAAAAGTATCTGTCCTACGAGATATTAAAATAAACATCCCATACGGATTAGACTTATGTGATTTATCAAAGCCATAGCAATCATAACAACCCGATTTATGTGTCCACCACTTAGATAGCCCACAATGGTTGTTGCTATAAAAGTACTGAAGCTAAATGAAAAGGCTCTAAATGTCCCCTACACGAGTCAATAAAAAAAGAAATCTAAAATGAAATTTCTAAAAATTCCGTCTAAGTTGATTCCTAAAGTAATCAATATGCAGTTCTACAAATCCAAAAGAAGCACCGGTAGTTGACACGGTATTTTACCCTTTTGTATGTTAATACATTTAAATAAGATTTCAATATGAAATTTAACCTCTAAAATTAAGGAAATACGTTTGCCAATGTGGTAGATGATTCCGGATGAAATACCAATTTTAAAGAAAAATCTTTGTAGAATATTAATTGGCATTGAAAATGTGCCTCCCCTTTTATTCGATTCATGTTATTAAATAAACATAGCAAACAATGCAAACGTAATAAAAAAAGAGCTCAATTTGTATTTATTTCTAATCGTTTTTCACATTTGGATTAAAATGGGACACTTTTCACGCAAGTATTCTTTCACACAAATAAACACGAAATTAACCAGTACTTAAATAAGCTATACATTTTGTTTAAAGAATTTACGATCCTACAATATTTCTGTTTCTAAAGTGAACCCCGTTAGTGATGGTTTTTGTAACTCCTAAAAGTATGCTTTACATTTCTGTTACTTTTATTATGTATTCGGTGAGACTGAATGTTCTAAAAAGTAAATAACATTCGACTCTGTTGAATTATAGGATTTGCTTGCTGTTTCATGTTTACGATATACGATATGTCAAATATCGTAAAGACCAGACATAATGTTGTTTTTGTGCAATTGATATAAATGTATATACTGTCATATTTGAAATAGGACGCAATGCTTTCGCAGTTTATCTTCAAGGAATTGGATTCAAGAAATATTAAAGATTTGGGTTTTTTATTTACTTTTCAATACCTTTTTAATTAACATATTTTATTTCTAATTATATTTTCTAAAAAAAGTTATTTGATTCTAATATTAATTACATAGTACGATGATGATGACTTTCAATTGAGAGAAAGAAAAACCAAAACGCACATACAATTCTAAAAAAAAAAAAAAAACAAATAACTAAAATCAAAGTAATACAAAATTTGGCTACAATTATTTAAAAAAATAAATGAAATTGGAAGTAAAACAATAACATCGCCCCAAAAATCAATAATTTCCCACATCCCTGTTGCCCTCCCATTCGTTTATATTAATCAAATAACTTATAATTATTACATAATTACGACAAACGATATACCCAAATGTAGATGATTGAACAGGGATATTCTTGCACTGCATTAAATCACTTTTATTGGCCACCTTGCCTTGTTCCATGTTAAAAAGTGAGCCCAAAAGTGACACACACACAAACACCTGTTTTTGTATTAACAAAAGTAAAATGAAAAAAGATAATTGTTAAAATATCCCCAACCTAAAAAAAAGCAAACAAATAAACCAATAAATGTTGTTGTACCCATAACCATTCATAAATGTGAATTTTTTGGATTTTTGTAAATGTTGTAGAAAATAGAAAGAAAACCTAAAACAAATTAAATAAAATTTTTAGCAGTTTTTAGATGAAAAATGAAAAAAAAAAAAACATACAGAGATATTATTAACAGAGCTTTAGATAAAGAAAATAAAATTGTTAAATACTAATGTCCTTTTTGACAAAATTGTATAAACGACAAACTCCTCTATCCCCAAAATAAGACTTAATGTAAAAAATATATAATATTTATAAATAGCAAAAAAACCCTCTAGAAATGCTTGCATCAAATTAATTCTGGTTATTTTGAGAGCTACAACCTGTATCAAAAAACGGGGTGTACAAATGCATGCATGGTAGACTGTAGCAGGCTCTCAGTAATTAACAACAACAGCAACCACTACTTTAGTATGCATTAACTTTGAAATACAAACATTATATATAATATAGAGAAATTACCAAAATGTATATCAGCTATTATTATACTATATTATAATTATGATTATTGTGAATCCTCCCCCAACTCTTGGACCCTCTCTCGACACGAAACCAAAACCAATTTTTACTCTATTGACTACAGGGTGCGCCGTTATAAATCGTTCAAATGCGACATGAACACAAAACGATAAACAAAATTTTACAAAGCTACAAACGACTTTTTCATGTTCTAAACAAAACCAACAACAACAACATTTTTGTAAAAGTGGCAGCAAAATCAATTGACATAATTATTAAAAAAGAAAAACAAATATCATCTCCAGCTTAACCCCCAACTGATACAACAACATACAATGGGAGTAGAGATGAATGACCAACTAACCACAACCAGTGAATGCATACAAAAACAACAACAACAATTTACACAACTAAATACCTACATATGAATTATATCTATTTCGTATATCCTTGTAGATCAAATTTATTTAAAGCGCTATATGTAAAAGCAAAATGCCATAAAAAATTAAAACAAGTATATTATAATTCCGATATTTTATATAGAGAAAAGTGATTATAAATAATTTCGATAAATTATGGAAACATGTCATATATATTCAAAAATTTGATTGTTGTTAAAATTTTGGTTTCTCAAACAAATTCATCAAAAAGTGGGGGAAACTTAAAAAAAACTTTTTACAAATTTTACATTTCCAAGTTGTACGCCTATATATTTCAAAATTGGTAGTATTTGTGTATTTGAGGGCAAAATTTTTCAGGCAGTTCAAGTTCGAAGACGGACTATATCGGTGTTCGTTCTCTTATATCCAGTATACAGCGGTACCTTCCGATATTCGGAGGCCAGTCACCTCCTCTGACAGAAAATTGTCTATAATATTGCCGATATTCGATATTTTGATAATTAACGGTATTAAGAATGAGTCATGGCCAACCCGAAAGGTAGTTCAACTTCAAAGGAAATAAGAAAAACTCAACTTTTTAGTAAAGTCTTATTATGTCTAATAGACTTTTAAGACATGCAACAATTGTTTTTTTTTTATTTCACATTTTTTCAACAAAGTTGTTTTTAATGGGGAAAAACCAC